TTTATGTTTGTGGGATTCCTGACAAGGTTTCATTTAGTCAGGTCAACAAATACGTATGTATGTAAACCCAGATGGAATTCTGGAAGGTCAGGGTACCGAAGTTTGCCCAAACAGTACCATCCAGTCCACTTCCATAACTTCAAAACTAGTCGCTTGCTGTCACACATTTCGAAATTAGATGGCTATCCTTTTAACCATTTTGACTGCAAAGGCATAGTGGCTCTGCATGAACCGAATTCTAAGGAAGTGTAACTTCTCATATGAAATGAAGTATGATCAATGTAATAGATTTATAGTAGGACCATATTAGGGGTCCACTGCTACACCGATCAAACATTTTCTAAAGCAACGTATGGAAGGTAGCATTAAGAAATTCAATAAGCGTGCTCTGTTAACATAAGCTACACTTCCTTGGAGCACACACAGAATGAGTGGCAACTTTTCACTATATTACGCACAGTTCCAAACATAAGGACAGGTAGAGCAAGCACAACTAGCTAAAAAAAAACTAGTTTAACAAGCAAAAGTGTCTCGAGAAAAAAGGGAACTTTACAATACCGGGCGCTACTTTACAGCGCGTTACGGACGGTGAAGTACCGAGGATTGCGGCGGAGAGTTTTAGAAGAGCGTTTCTCTGCCGGGGTCCCAAAATGCAAGCATCTCGCCCTTAAAGCGCCACCAAGATGTCGCGACAGTTTTTGTTTTGAAGTTAGAATGTGATATCTTGAAAATTAAACAAATTTTTCTTTGGAGTAACATTTGTATAGCTGTTTTATACTCAGTGCCGCATGTTTCTGTCACTGCCAAGCTGCTACTTACGAAGCTAAAACGATGCACTACCCCGGCATGTTTACATTTCTGCCGCGACCGTAAGTACACGCGCTTTGAAAGCTTTGAGCTGTGAATCCAGCGATCCGTGGCGTTTTCAATACACTTTGACTACACCGACCGCGGTAGCGGTCGCCGAGTGCGACTCACGCAGTTCCCAGGCGGGCGGCGGCGTCGAAGACGCGATCAGTGGAGATGTCGAGGGCGCCGCCATTCGCAGCGGTATTTCTTTGGGGCGCGTTAACCCGTGCTATTTCCGAGAAATAACGGGCCCCAAGCCCAATGCTTGTTTTGGGTCTGCGCATACGCAGTAGTGACGACGTTATTTCGTTGGGATTGTAGACGTTATTCTGAAACTGCCTAATGTTCACAACTTTTTTCACGCGTCTACAATGCCAACAAAGACCAACGAAGCATGCTTAACAACTGTGTTGAGCTGCTCGTTAGACTGTCGCGTCGTGGGTCTTCCACGCCTTTCTTGAACAATCATCATGAGAGGAAACTTAGATGAACTTGATTAAATTAGCACATTTCCATGTCCAAAAGGATTTCCATCCCGCGACACAAACGCACGACTAGCACAACCATGACGGAAGTCTGGATGGATAGATGACCTTTGAAACGAACGGTAGCTTGCGCCACCTAGCATATGTCTAAAAAAGACATTTGATTCCTCCCGCCCTTCTAAGCCAATTTCTCCCCTTAACTATCACCAGGTGGTGTGGGATATCACCAGGATGACCTTTGGGGGATCGGTGCGAAAAAACTAAAAGCATCACCCCCCGCCTCTTCACCCCGGCGAGGGAGTCACCAATTTTCCTCTGGTCAAACCTTGTCGGCGTTACCCCTGCATCGGACCCACTGGGGTACATTGTTGAGACTTTCGGCCGGAGCCACGCGGAAGGGAGTCCCAATTTTCGTCTGTCCCGCCTGTCCCCAGCTGTACTAGTTAGTTGTGCATCATTCAGTTTTCCCTACATTATTTCCGCCAGTCTTCTAATCATCTCTTGGTGACTGTAATCCTTTCTCATCTGTCCTTCCATCGTCGCCAGCAAAACCCAGGGCTCCGGCCAAATCTGCTACCCCTTCAGGGAGGGCAGGGCCAAGCCCCGTGCACCTCAAAACCAAGTGTTCTAGTGTCTCGCTCTCATTGTGGCAGGCCGCACACAATGTGTCTGTCTCCTAAAATTTAGCCCTATAAGTCCTCGTCCTCAAAACCCACATTCTCGCCTCAAACAGGAAATAACTTCCCATTGAGTTGTCAGACATCTTTTCCTTTCTTATGTCCTGTTGGTGTTGCTAGCGATGGGGATCTGAAACCAGAACGAGTTGCTTACAAGACCGAAACCGAAACTGACCGAATCTCAAGAACCGTTAGGTAGCCACACTAAACATCGGAGCAGCGCCGCTCTTTAGAAGTACGCTCAACTTACAGTTCAACGTACTTCCAAATACCCTTTCCGAAATGAATGCAGAGAGAGCGGTGTCGATGTCCTCATCCTCACTTGTGTCGTTGAAGTCTATGTCCTCATCCTGAAGCGCCATTGGAGTGGGCCACACGAACACGACGCGCACGACTGATCTCACACGTGAAACGCTCGTCACCCCATGGGTACCTCGAACGGCTCGGTTGTAACGCGTTGACGTCACCACAACGCCACCAACGGCAAAGCTCATAACTATGCAAGCCTTGCTACGTCACGAATGCGGGGAATATTTTTTTTTCTTTGCGCCGGATATCCCATGACGCATCGCGCTCTCCGTTCGCTTCTCTTCGAAGACGCGATCAGTGGAGATGTCGAGGGCGCCGCGATTCGCAGCGGTATTTCTTTGGGGCGCGTTAACCCGTGCTATTTCCGAGAAATAACGGGCCCCAAGCCCGTTATTTCCGTTTGGAACGAAGAATATCGCCAGCCATTCAAAATACAAATGTGCGATTATAATTTACAGTTATTATCCGTCGTGCTTGACTCATTTCTGAACGAAATTTGCATATTTCAATTTTCGTTTCCGCACGCCTTTAATTTCGAGCTGAAACCATTTTCGCCATCCGAAAATATTGAAAAAAAAGTAAGCGTATCATTGTCGCATAATTAACGTGACTAATGTATTTTTATACATGCTGGAGTTCTAGTGTGGACACATCCTTAGGATGTGGAATAGATATTTGCATCTCACAGGCCAGGTTACATAACACATGCATCAAATGGGCCGATGTATTTCTGACGCGGACTATTTTTACTTCATTTTGATGTCTGACAAATATATCAGCTTCGTCAAAAAAAAACAAAAAAAAAACCTTTTTAAGAGTACAGAAACATGTTGCCATTGATTGAATACTTGTTTCGTCCAATATGCATCTCCATTGTTTTGACAGACATATATATATATATATATATATATATATATATATATATATATATATATATATATATATATATATATATATATATATATATATATATATTGTTCCTATTGCTCAAATAGACATGCACAGTTTGCCTAGACTTCCTATTGATCCATTCGAGGTTTCCACTAGTCAAGGAGGCATTCCTATTTGGCCAACAAAACTTTTGTTTGACTAAAAAGAATTCATAATAGTCCGATAAAGTCCCTATGGGACCAGTCGAACCTAATATGGGACCAATAGGAATGCCTATTGAACCGATAGAAATTGCTCTAGGCCCAATAGGCATTCCTATGGGACAGATATACACACTCCTGTGGGACCGATACACATTCCTATGTGACCAATAGAAATTCCTATGGGACCGATAGAAATTCCTATCGGACCGATAGAAATCTCTATCGGAATTTTAGCTAGGGCAAAGTGCAGAGGCTTCTAGACATCGCATGTTTAGTTTCGGTTTCGCAACACGTTTAGCTTCGGTTTTGTTTCCGGCGTCTGGCAACTAGAGCTGCTGAGGTATGCCGCCGAAGGGCGCAGGCTTCTGAGTAAACAGTTTCGGGTTACACTTTCGGAATCAGAGGGACGCGCCCGCACCGGGGCCATCGCGCTCATGTATTGCTATACCTTCTGTAGTTCAGTATAATAAATAGTTTTATGTGCCGGACATCTCCACTACAGACTCTTCAGATAGTGCAAAACTGATCTGCAATGGGGAGTGCATATAAGATAAGGGTTTTCCGTGGGTAGGCATCTGAGTGGTGTGTGTTATCTCGATCTTCTTCATAGTTCAGTGTCAACTCGGGCCAACTCACTGAGCTGCTTCACGTGTTACTAGATAACCAAGTTGGAAAACTTCCAAGTCTCCCATGGTGGAGGGTGGCAATAGCGCCATGAGCTGTACTGTTTTTATGGTGTGCTTCAGTTTACTCTGTGTTTTGATATCACGAAGAAATAAAGTTGCGGATGGCTGCATCTTCAGCAGCAATGTGGTTTTGATGTAGTTGAGGCAAATTGGCCTGTCAGCCAGTGGGACTTATTTGTTGAGGGTGGTAGTACGATCAAAGTGCTTCAATAGGTGTAAGAATGTGTTGTGTTGGTTGTAGTACTTTTCTCATAAGAGCTAGAAGCGGGCTGTGTGAAGTGACGGGCGAAAGACCCAGTCATTATCTCGAAAGGAATGGCTGAAGATAATGTAACGGCATCAGTGGTGTAGCCAGGGGGGAGGCTTATGGAACTTCAGTTCCCCACTTCCCCCCCCCCCCCCCCCTCCTCCCGAAATCCAGCCAACCCTATAATAAACACATGCATTTTGACACCCAGCTATCCAGCCACCCCAGCCTCTTTAATGCATGTGTTATGTAACCTTCTTTTAAAGAAACTTTAAAGAAACTCGCAGCTTTTACATGTCTATCACCCCCCCCCCCCCCCCCCCCCCGAAAAAAAATTCCTGGCTACGCCACTGATCGTCATCCTTGTCCGAGGGTAGTTTTGGAGGTTTCTCGCTGAAGCGGAAATAAGCACCCAGCACGACTTTGCCATCTCTAGAATGCCAGTAGGAGACGTAGCCTTTTGGTCATGGTTCACTGGGATCTTTCTGTAAATTGCCGGGTGGAGGAAGATGCACAGAAGCCAAAGAACGGCAGAAAGCATGTGCCGGGGGCTAGGCATCTAAAAGACGCGCGTTTCTTCTTTTTTTGACAAACGAGAAATTTCGTCCTTGAACCAAACTTGTTCTCGCTTGAATGCTTGTCTTTTTGCACAGGGGCCTTTGGTTCGACACCCAATATGGCAATCTGCTCAAGGTGGACCCCTATGGAAACATTCTGGTTTGCTGTCATGGCTTCCAATTCCTCAAGACGTAAGCACTCCGGTCGTTCGCTTGGCGGGTTCCTTAGGCTCCATCCCCGTAGTTTCGTGCAGTCTTGTTGGAGGCACGGGCTTTAGAGAGGGATTTGTTTGCACAAAGGTGCACCTCTGCTGTTTTGCCTGTTATTATGCTGGACACAACTTGAGGGCAAGTATGGTATGCACTAATTTTTGTTGTCATCGGTAAACCCAATTTTCAAATGCACTGCATATTCAGATGTTCTCTGTCCCCTCCCCCCCCCCCCCCCCCCCCCCCCGACCCACACAGACATTTTCCCCGTTCCAAAGCCACTGAACAGTTGTAAATGGGTTAGCACCGTGTGAGTATGTCTGTGTTTCTCCTCGTTGTCGCCGTTTTTTTATTGTCAAAATCTGTGTGCAAAGTAGCAAATTAAAAACAAAAACCCTAAACCTCGTTCACATATGTAGTCACGGATAATATGACAAACCCCAGTACAGCGCGTGGTTCCGAACGCCGCCAGTGCTATCTAATATTCGACAGAGCGCGACACAGTCGACATGGACATGCGATCGTTGACTTTTCTCGTTTTTTTATGACAGTGGACGGGAGGCGAGGGAGGGTGCAGTGGATGTGTTGATTACATGTTGGCTGTTTTTGTCTTCCCTGTCTTGTCAGTGGGGAGATCTACAAGCTGTACCCAAACAAGTTCATCAAGCTGGACGAGTCACGGGTGTTTGTGCTCAACACATTGTTCAACCTGCCAGGTGGGTGGGTGGCTTGGGGACTTGGCGCCTCCTCTTAGCCCCTTTGTACAACCTGCCACTTGGTTTGTTACCCTGTCCAGAAACCTACCTGCTGGCTTGTTTGGTGGACTTCTTCTGCACTTCACAGCAGTACAGCCCGTAAATCCCTTTTTATATTTGTCTTCGTTGCTCTTACCTTGGACACTTTGTTTCCTCAAGCTCTCTACTTGAATATTTTTTTTTCATCTTTGTTCGAGGACCCCAACTGCACTCGGACACAGTGTTATCATTGACGGTGGCTCTCAAATTTGCAGCACGAAGACTGGAGTAAATATTGGCAGCCTGTTCATGTCCTACAAATCCATCTTCCAGGATGTTCGGGGTGCAGTTGATGCCATTCACACCTATGTGAGTTGGGAAAGAACTGTTAACAACCCTTGTATGCTTTAAGTAATAATCATTGCTTGGATGTGAATGAGTGTTATGTGCTGTGCTTGTTCTAGGTTAAGAAAAACAGAACAAGCTCCTCCTACAAAGCCCTTCACTCTTTACACTTCAGCAAAGCAAGCGCCGGAGAGGAGGCGAGTTAACTCACCTCCTCTCCAGCACTCCCTCTGCTGAAGTGGAAAGAGGCTTTGTAGGATTGTCCTATTTATTTATGCCTTTATGTACTTACTCTCAGGGTCATTGGCATTATAGATGGTACTTTATAGCGTCGGTTGGATTTCAAGGGGTGCTGAAGCCCCATAAGCCCCTCCTGGCTGTGCCACTGGAAGTCAGTAGCAAGGAGGGATGCTCGCACGTGACCTCTGAACTTTCAGCACATTAATTTCGGGCTGTTTCTTTGCGCAGGCGTAGTCTTAGGGCGTTGTAGTTTTCCCATGACCAGCTTATGGTCGTGAGTTTTTCATTATTTTTACTTTACCACAATCTTTACAAGCAGTAACTTGACATGTCGCTTGTAATTTTAGCCTCCTTCTCCTTGTTCTGCGGACGGATTAGCAATTCTTTGGCCGAAGCGAGGACGTATTTGCAGCTCATTATTTGATGATCGTACTGGGACGCAGCTCGACCGACAGAAGTTAAAACGATTCCCTCAAACTCTCCTCTCTAGCACGACATGCGGTAGCACACACAATATACGGTGTCGGGGTGTGGTTCCAAAACCTGAAAGCCGACCCCGATGTAGTAGCCGACGCTAGAGCTCAATGAAATCAGCCATCTTCAATTATCGGAGCATATCAGCTGTCAGGTGCCATCCGTTGAATTGCGTATGTGACGTCATTATGGTGCCACTGTTGGAGCGATATGACGCTCTGGCTTTGTCCATCAGATCCGGTCTATGTCGCCATCTTGCCCAGACAACAAAAGTTCCCTATTGGCTACCTACAGAAACGTGTTTATGGAACCGAGGTGGAAGCTCTCCACGAAGCCGAAATTATATATTTTTACGCTAGTAAATGAATCTGAACGATCGGACGAATGAGCGTAGGTTATGCAGGCTTTTTTTAAACGTTACTGATTTGCTATAAAAAAAAAAAAACAGTGAAAACTACACTAATGGGGCCTGTGCTAGGGAGTTGTACTATCGCGGACAATATGAGCTGAAACAGCGCTCCGGCCTGTGCACGGTACTACCTGCGCCGCCTGTCGCATCGCTCTCTGAACACGGCGCACCCTGAGGCCGAGATAAATTATCACTTGCGCTCAATGCGCCACTGCGCTCTTCCGGCCGTCTGCTAGCCCAATATTCACGTTTTCAGCTATCATGCATTTCAGTGCATTTCGAAAAAGCGCCGAAGTGTAAAATGCGCTGTCACGCTCCTATCTCCTCAAGGAGCGCTGCCTGACGAAGCTGCCTTGGCCCCTAAAAGGAGCCGATCTGAATATCATCGAAAACATTTGGAGGTGCATCAAGGTAGCCATGTCACGGCGTCCCCTCCACCGCGCTACTGCCTACAAATTGTGGAAAGCAATGAGAGGTGAATGGGAGTGGCTTCGGGGCTGAGCCAGACTTCGTGGCCGCGCTCTATGATTCTTTACCAGATAGGATGAGAGCCGTGGTCGCGGGTCAGGGGAGAATGACGCGGTATTAAATTATTTTGCAAGTTTTACTGCACCTCAGGACCCCCTGAACTGGACTTTTGCCGATTGGGACAAAGCTTGATGCTAGGGCTGCGACGCACTGTTAGACGCCGTTAACCACGCATACATTTGAGGGGTGCCTCTTTCATCCCGATCTTCTTGTATAGTGCCGTTGAACTTTCACGCCGACTATTAATCTTTTGTGTCTGACAATCATCCTCTGCAAACATTCTTTCGATTAAGTTTCAATCTCCTTCTATTGACAAATATATGACTCTTTGTCCCACCTTATTAAGGCTAAGAATTCGTAAACAAAAAACTGGTGTCTTGTCAACAACTTGTTTTGCTTGAAACAAACACGTGGGCCCAGTAATAAAGAAACAATATTTTTGAACCTTTTCAAACTAATCAAGGTTACAAAACCTTCTCAATAACATGTATGCTTACCGTTTTTTGAACATCTGTGATCAGTGAAACAGAAAAAAAATACATTGGAGCCGGACTAAATCCGGCGTACGCATTTTGGCCTATATTTTACGATGTCCCACTTCGTGCATGCACCTATAATAAACAAAAACAACCTGCAACGTATTTTGATGTGACTTTCAAAAACGGTAATCGCAGTTGAAATTTAAGACACTTCAATATTTTTCCTTCACCAGTCAGCGTTTTTTTCTACGTGATTTTGCGCGATAGAGTAAAGTAAATCAATACCAAAAGGGGGACGACAGGTGTAATCTTTTGTTCCCCCGCCGCCCTACCACACATGCCCGCTGTCGCACCCGCCGTCTCGCTTGCAGACAGCCGGAAGAGCGCAGTGGCGCAGCGAGCGCAAGTGAGAAAATATCTCGGACTCGGGGTGCGCCATGTGTGCTGAGCAAGGCGACAGGCGGCGCAGATAGTACCGTGCACCTAGAGTTCCTGTATAGCTACCTACGGTAGCTACGTATAGGCTCCCGTAGGGAGCCTATACAGGAACTCTACGTGCACCGGCCGGAGCGCTGTTTCAGCTCATATTGTCCGCGATAGTACAGCCAGGGGGGACATTGTGGTAGCGCATACACCGACATCCGGCGGCTCCCGGGAGAACATTTCTCCGCTCGACTCGATCGCCTCCGGAAGCTTCGGGTTACGTTACCCGGCTCAGGTGCGTCGCCTTCAGCAGACCTTGCCGCACGCTTACATCGGTTCAGCGCATTATCCACTGCATAACGTTGGATAATATCCTAGCAATCTCACCATCCACAGCACACTACTCTCTCGTCCGGCTGCCTTGTTGCCTCGCGGTTGTACCACTTCACGCCACCGCGAGGGAACCCTCGCCACGAGGGTACAAAAGAACGCGGCGCAGGACGACACACAGAGACGAGACGGAAACAAGACGACTTGGGACCAGCGGCCTGGACAGACGCCGACTCCGCGTCTTCATCATTATTTTAAATTCGGCCATATCTTAGCTAATAAAACGTTAGTGTTCTTACCAACCGTTCCAGACCCAGTGGCGTCACAAGGGGCGGGGAGGGGGGGGGGGGGGGGGGGGCGGGCTTTTGTCCCGGGTGCCGCTGACCCTCGTGACGCCACTGTCCAGACCAGTTTAACTTCCGAGTCGGGCTAGAACAACCTTAGACGCTACAACATAATATAGGGGCTAATTGTCACGATAAGTCGAATAATTACTTGGAATGTGCTAATTTATTCTTAATTATTGAAAATAACCATATGATTTCAATTAGAAGCTTGCTGAGTGTCATCGAAAATTACTAAATCCGTATTTTTTAGAAACACTGAGCGCGTGGGAAGCGTAGTAGTGCGCTAAAGTTCGCACTTGTGCGACAGCCACAAGGCTAGTAGACAGAAAACGCGGATGATAAGAGACAGAAAAACGGTTCAGGCGCTCTTATCGCACCGGTAGCCTTGCGCCTGCTGCACGAGTGCTAACTTTAGTGGTCCACCAGGCTTCTCATATGCTCCAAGTCTTTCTGAAATTGACCGATTTTGTGGTTCTGGATGACACTCATGAAGTGTCTAATTGGAACCATATGCATGGGCGTACCAACCGGGGGGGCAAGGGGGGCACTTGCCCCCCCCAGTTCTCAGAGTGGGGGGGCAAGGCATGCGTTTTGCCCCCCCCCTGAAACGGCCACCACTGGGCAGAGCAGACACAGGCCGGCGGCGCCCAAGGAATACCAAGGGCACTGCCCCCCGACCCGCGCGGGCATATTTTTAACGCGCAGGCGATACAAACCCTAGCAACGGTGCTCACGCACGCCGGATTGGCTGGTTCGTAAAGCCTTGCTCCACGAACAAGGCTACACGGTAACCTTACGGAATCCATCCGCGAGATATGGGCCGGACGGGCCGTCCAGACCAGGACGTAGGCCCTTACACAAAATAAAGTTTTGCTTGCTTGCTTGGAGATAGGCGCTGCCGCCGTCAACATAGGCAGCGGATGCAATGCGAGTTTCCGAAGAGGTAGCGTAACTTAGTGGTGAGATGTCTGCCTCATACGTGTCAGACCCGGGTTCTATTTATGGTGTGGGCCGGCTTACTTCTTTTTATTTTTTTTCTCGAACATTTTGTTTTGTCGAGGCATTTGGCGATATTTACATTTCTTTTTTACCATTAACACTAAAAAAACGAATGTTGTTGACGAAACATCGCTAAACTAAATCGTATCGACTCTATTTACGGAAGTGCATGGGGGGCAGTGGGGCTTGGGTTGCCGACCGGACGCCGCAAAGCGGCGTGTACGGGGGATGGGGGGGCTAGGTGGGTTAATAGATTTGTAATTAGCAGCCGCACACCGTCACCGCGAAGCGGCGTGAACGCAGGCGCGGGGGTGGGTTAACGCGCTTCGAGTGATACACGAGCAGCCCATCCGGCGTGAGCGTCGTTGTTAGGGGTTCTATCGCCTGCACCGTAAAAGGAGCAGTGTGTGCACCTCCTGTAGTGGGCAAGAATTCCTACATTGGAGAGAAGCGGGGACAAGCCCTTTCTTCAAATGCGTCAAGTCTCCTTGAGCTTCGGAATACAAAGAAACGCCACTATTCGGAGCTAATCCCACAGTTACTCGACCTCTCTTGCGTCGTGTCTGTTCGCTCCCCGCGCCTCGTAGCAGTGTTGTTGCAGTGGGGGGCTCGTTAAAATTTTGGGCTTTTTTGGACTATCTAAATCACTTTCTTCCTTCCCATCCCCCCCCCTTTTCTACTCCGCATGCTTCCCCCTCTGCAAATATCAGCTGACCTTCCGACCTCTGTTCTCTGTTGATAGGCAAAACAACCACTAAAATGAGAAAGTAATTTGTAATTTGAGTGGAAGTCACT